GGCCCGGCGGGGCACCTGCAAGGCCGGCGGGAGTGCAAGGAAGCCCCGCGAAGGCCCCCCCTGGCCCCAGGCAGGCAGGGGTGGGGAGAGAGGCAGGGAGGAAGCAACTTATCCTCCCTCTCCTCTTGCCTCCTCCTGGCTGAATGAGGGCCGGAAGCGGGGCGGCAGGAAGCAGGGGGGGGGCTTCGTCGTGTGCCCCACCCCCCATACCTCACCCGGGGGAACTGCGATCCCCCGCGATCCCCCGCGATCCCCCCCGAAATGACCTCTGCTCCCAGGAGGTAGAAAGCAGGGGAACAATGGCTGCTGGGTTTTAAAAACCAACCAACATAAAACCCCGCATTTCCTCCCTCTCCCATAATACTAGAACCCCCTCCGCTGAAGCTGAAGGGTGAGCTATTCAGGACAGACGCAAGGAAGTATTTCTTCACCCAGCGTGTTGTTCAACTGTGGGGACTCGCTGCCGCAGGATGTGGTCGTCAAGCGCACCAAAATGGGAACGCAGGGAATGCAGTCATACAAACCAATAGACAGAACAATCTGTCACGCTGTACAAATCGCACTTGAGACATCTGTCGTCTTATACAGTTCTCCTTACAACCAGTGTTCCCTCTAAGCTGAGTTAGTATGAGCCGGCTCACAGTGTTTTAGCCTCCGGCTCACGCGTTTTTGTCTCAGCTCAGGAAGGAGGGGCTCCAGAGCAGACTGATTTATGCAGGGGCCAAGTCGCTCGCTCACGACTTCAGTGCCAGGAGCTCACAAAGTAGAATTTTTGCTCACAAGGCTCCACAGCTTAGAGGGAGCATTGCTTACAGCCAAAATTGATAAACCGTGCATAAATTTATTATTTTATTTTATTTTATTAATTCAATTTATAACCCGCCCTCCCCGCGAACGGGCTCAGGGCAGCTTACAGCAGTGGCCCAATTGCCAATAAAACCGATAAAACAATGTGCATCATTTCATAATAAGTTAAAACATAAAATCATAAGGTGCTGTTCAGTTCTACAGCTCGTTGCTTACGACGGCGAATTCCAGCTCAGTGTCGTTCCGAGTTGCTCGATGTAACGGGCCCGATGTTGCCACTGAGGACCGGGGTCATTGATGGTAATGACAGCTGCACCAGTTGAATAGTGACCTGATAGTCC